GTATTATTTTGAGGCGGATGAAGCCAGAATATATATTGTTAAGCTTTCATTAATTATTGTGTCTCTTTATTTTCACACGTACATTTAATGTGTACAACGTATCCCCAAAGTGACCTAGCCTAGTCTAAAAACACCCACACTACCCAAATTAGGCTAGCCGTTACACATGTTCTTTATATTCAATTCACTTATGTTATGTAACCTCCAGCCTGTTATAGTAAGTACTATTATACTGTGATTATCTTTATACTTGCTGTTTGCACTGAACAACTGCTTGAAAAAAATAAGAACATTTTTTAGTATGAATTTGTCTGACGCTCAGTAATTTAGTGTAGCGCTACATTTTCTACATGATCAGAATCCTCCGATTTATATCATAAATTAGACCATTTTGACGTTATATAATCACAAATAGACTACTTCACCTAGGTAAGTATGCATCATTTGTACAATTGAACTCATTTTGAAGGTTTTATATCAGCTTTTCAGTGAGAAAAATATGTCACATGCAAACTGATAACCGGGGTCAACCCAGTTGTCCGAAACCCATTTTTCCGAAACCCAGTTCTCTGAAACCCAGTTCTCCGAAAATTAAAAAATTAAATGTCTTAGTAACGAATCTTGTCGCAACTTCGCGAATCAGGACAGCATAACATTGGTATCACGTTGACATCGGTTAGCCCGGTCAATAATGGGTCCGAAAGTTCACGATCATATATATATTCTTACTAGATTCTCGGCACATAGACTTATACGGACATTCTACAAATTTTGAACCACATTGTCCAGCACTAATCGCACTCCTTCTTGGTGAAAATTCAAGACTGCCGCCAACATTTTAGACAATTATCACAGTCGAAGAGAATATTCTGGCGAAAGGAATATCTATCTCATTAGAATAACGTATGGACGTCCGTGACAATTATATATATTCATTTGATAATTTTTACATTCCCTTTTCTCAATAAAATATGGTTAATTATGTTTTCCAATATCAATTGATAATATTTCTACCCTGAAAAATATCTAAAAAGAAGATTTTGGTTGTTCAGTACCACCCATTGTTAAGATTTCGTCCAAACTTTCGATAAATCAATAAAATATGCTCATTTCGTATAACTTATATATGTGGCATATATACATATCAGATGTCTATCCTTTTTTCATCATAATATAAGAGGTTTGTATGTTTTAGTAGAAACGTATTCCTTTCCAAACATTTAGATTTAAGAATTTCTCCCATTGGTGATATTGTTCAAAATCAAAACTTTGTTTTTTTCGATATATTGAACTGTTGAAGTAAGTGTTTAATAGTTTGTAGTAGAGCCAAGATTTGATCTGTATCATGTACGTACCCTGCATAAAAAAATTCGTTTTTAGTGTGCCATAGATGTCAACCATTAACTATTGCAGGATCAAAAAAAGTTTTGTGAAAAATTAGGATAATGTTTCAAAATTATACACCAGACAATAAGTAATACTCAATGCAGACAGGGAGTTTTAATTGTCCAAAAACTGAGTATCAAAATGCATTTGTATCTCTTTAGTATCTTGCATGACTCGTTCATATGAATTCTTTATTTCTACCTCGTTCCCAATACATTCTGAGACAGTTCAACCTTTGCCCCACGTCGCCACGCGGTCCTAACTTCGACCGTTAATTTGAATTCTTGACCTACCGGATATTTGAAAATCAATTACGAGTCTCATACTGCACCGTTTTTCTTCAAACTTGTTCCATTCAAAGCATGACAAAAATCTCTTTCTGATGGTACGTTAAAATGTTAAACAGAGTTCCTACTTCCAGCGTAATTTTGGTCCCCAGCTGTAAGAAGGCCTTCTAACAGCTGGGGAGTGATGACCAAAATGCTGCTAGAACGAGAGACTCTTTACAATAAAGTAATGCACTGACAGAAGTGCAATTTTGTTTTGCTTTTAATGGTATAATGGAAGAAAAACGGTGCAGTATCAGACTCGCAATCCTTCATTTTCAAGCATTTGGTAGGTCAAAAATTCCAATTAACGGTCGAAGACCGCGTGATTGCAGAAAGTGATGACCACGTGGAAATTTTGGAACTACCCTTTCGAGTAGGCAAGTAGACCCCAAACGGTTCTAAGTACTTCCAATCCGTCCACACAGTTTAAGCCCGTTCTCGAGAGCGTAGTGAGAACTAGTTTGGTGTGATAATAGGGTCAGATACTGAAAGTGTAAGCATGGACGACCTCCCACCGTCCAATGAATACAGTGGGTTCAGAATCAGAAGGCGTTTCAGACGGCGTTCCGAAACAGCTCACTATAGCTTATTCCTTAAATTTTGGCCTGAATGCTTTGTACGTTGAGAGACGGGACGGGACACGACCAGTGTGACAGCGCCATTAGAATTAGGCGCACGATGGGCACATTTTAACTTGGTATGAGTAGGGGATAATTTATGAGGATCAATAGGACTTCCCACGGCAGCCGCACGGTGAATTTTAAATTTCTGTTGATAAATAATACATTTTTCATTTTATTTACATCAGGGCAATTTATAAATGTTATTCATAGTGCTAGGATGTAATATCAAATGAAAAGTGATCGTGAAACATTGACAAATAATGATTCAATCTTGTTGAGCCAGTTGATTTCTACGGGACCTCAGAAATGAACAAAATTATAACTCCGAGTTATAATTTCTATACGGCGACCCTGCGGCGTGTGAAAAACTGGATACGGCGTACGGAGTCCCCAAAGCAAGCGTAGTTTTCCTACGCACAGGCACTGTAGCCCCTTTAAACATTATCCTCCGTCAATAGAAGATACACTCACCTCCATAAGTTGAATTTTTATTTACTTAACCGGCGATGAAATAACTTATAATATTGATGGAAACGTAACTTGACTTTATTTCCAATACCTTCAAATTTTATCAATTTTTTTCCTAAATTACAATAGGTCGAAAATTGATGATAAATTTGATGACTTTTTGAAAATCGTCATTCCCATGTCATCCAATGGGAAATGGTAGATTTACCGCACGTCATATGACAGAATATCCATCCATCCGAGTCCTTGCAAAATATGAGTAAGGCAGGCAATTGAATTTGCTAACTTTATTTAACAAAGAATTGATATGTTTCTTCAGGTTCAACAAAGTTACAGGGCTTTAAAGTCAAAATTGGTTTTCAAGAAAACTCTCCCATTGAAATAACACAGGAGTCGAAAAATTATTTTCAAAAATGACTTTGAAGCGCTATAAATTTAGTATTCATCAAATAAATTAAAACTTAGTGAACAAAAAAGTCAGACAATTCAATTTTTTTATACCAAATTTTTTTTGCTGAATCTTTTACTGAAAAGATTCTGATTTTCCCCGAACTCTCTATTTCCCCTTGGATTATTCGGGAATGCAATTTTAAAAAATTCATCAAATTTATCCTCAATTTTCGATCTCTTGTTATGGAGGAAAAAAATCTAGAAAATTAGGAGGTATTGGAAGTAAAGTAAAGTTACATTTCCATCAATATTATACGCTGTTTCATCGTAAATAAAAATTCAAACGTAAAGAGGCTTTAACACGTAGTTCAATGGGGGAGCTAAGGTTGCCAAACTTATGGAGGGGAGTGTATAAATACAACTACCGGCTTTTCACACAAATGAGCCTACTGGGCGTTTATTTAGTAAAGTTGACGTCGTGTACATCTTTTGAAACCAAAAATTATTCTTCATTTAGGTACTCTGTTCGAGAAATAGAGATTAAATTCAAAAAGATGAAGTGAGTACATGGCGAAAATGAAACTTCTTGCGAATTGGAGAACATCCAATTTGATACGAGGACAGCCTGTCTTCGTTTCCAGTTAATCCTAAGTGATTACGTTTAGAATGTTAAATGTTCTTTTACATTTTACGATTTGATAAGAGACAGAGACTAAGAAATTAAATGCGACGAAACATTTTGACAACGTAATATGTGTACTGTTTATTCTTAAAGTTTTATGCGTTAACTTATTTTATCGGTTTCAAAATGTTTCATTTTATTTTGCCTATATAAAATATATTGAATAAGATAAGATCAACTGTTCCGTAATATATATTGTGTTTTAATGACCTTTTTTAGAATCACAATGTAAAATAAATCCCCCGTTCCTGTCATTCTGGTAACGCCATGTAATGGATGCAATTCAAAGTGAGAGAGAGATCTATACATCAGAATGCATCCATGCCATTAATTTTGCCAAGTACATGACATGAAACTGGCTTGAGGTGCGTCCCCCTTTATCTGGTAAAGTATGACTAAATTTTTCGGACAACTGGGTTTCGGACAACTGGGTTTCGGAGAACTGGGTTTCGGAAAAATGGGTTTCGGACAACTGGGTTTCGGACAACTGGGTTTCGGACAACTGGGTTTCGGACAACTGGGGTGCACCCCTGATAACCTATTATCGCCCATTACAATAGTTCGTTTTTCTGCATTCTTTTTCTTTTTTACTCAAAATAAAGTTGTAAATCTCACATATTTTGATCTTAATATACACCTCAAAGAAGTCAAACATGATCAACTATTGAGATTTTCAAGATTTTCAAAAAATGTTCAAAGTTTTGACTCATTTTTTTTCCGTCCCAAAAACGGAAATATTTTTTATTTTTCCGTCCTACAATTTTTTTTTGCGTCACTTACATGTAAGGGACGCCGTTAATGCAAGCCCTGGTTACTAAGTTGACACAGTAAATGACCACTGATATTGTGTTAGTTCATGCACACAGCGTAACACCCCTCACTTTCATAGTGAAGTGACTAATTGGTTTATGTTTACGTTTTAATGTGTTTTGAGTTCCTTGTTACAGCAAGGGGGGCCAGTAAAGTAGGCTAACATGTTTGCATGGCAAGTTTTGATCGAATATGTGAGACACTTTAAATCAACATTGCAAGAATAAAATAGAAACAAATGAAGTTTCATGAAAAGATAAACTTTTGAGTGAAATACACTAAAAATATAAATAAATAATATTTCCTGCTTACTTAAACCACTTTGTTTTATCTAGCCATATTCCTGCAATGACTGAGCCAAGTAGCCCAGCTAGTACCAGTGTTAACCCTATCCTGCCTGCATTTGTAATTTCTTCCTGGAACATAAGGGTTAAGTACAAATTACACAGAATCAGCATTAACAGTGGGTGGAAATAACTGTCATAAAGGATATAATTATCCCATCGAACGAAGTTCGGAGGGATATAGGGAACGCCTCCGTCCGTCCGTCCGTCCGTCCGTCCGTCCGTCCGTCCGTCCGTACGTACGTCCGTACGTACGTCTGTCCGTCCGTCCGTCCGTCCGGGCAATAACTCAAATACCGTTGGCCCGATTTTGTTCATATTTTGTACACATATACCCTATGGGGGTAGAAGTTCTGCTAAAAAGCCGATTTTCAAAATGGCTGCTCATTTTAAAATGGCGGCCATTTTAGTGCCGATTTTACAGTAATTTAGGTGCAATATGTAAAACTGTGATAGCATTATGTTTTAAATGTAAAAAAATTATATAGGACATTGATAAAGCTAGAAATGTAGAAATTAAAATAGCACATGGCAGCCATCTTGAAAAATGGCGGCCTTTACTCGTTATTTTACGATTTTTGCTGTAACTCAAGAAGTATTGGAGCGATTTTGTTCATATTTGGTATGTGAATACTATAAGCATGGCTCACTGTCTAATGACACTTTTGGTAGGAGGAGGCCATTTTGAAAATTTGCCGCCATTTTGAAAAATGGTCGCCATTTTAACATATTTTACTTTAACTCAAAAAGGAGTGGAGCGATTTTGTTCATATTTGGTTTGTGAATACTATAAGCATGGCACACTGTCTAATGACATTTTTGGTAGAAGGCGGCCATTTTGAAAAATGGCCGCCATTCTAGCGTATTTTACTATAACTCGAAAAGTAGTGGAGCGATTTTGTTCATATTTGGTATGTGAACAATATAAGCATGGCACACTGTCTAATGACACTTTTGGTAGAAGGCGGCCATTTTGAAAAATGGCCACCATTTTAAAGTATTTTACTGTAACTCGAAAAGTAGTGGAGCGACTTTGTTCATATTTGCCATGTGAATACTATAAAAAAAGCATATTACTTCTTCTGATGGCAAAAAATGGAATTTGAAAAATGGTCGCCATTTAAACGTATTTTACTCGGCCTTTACTCGTTATTTTACGATTTTTGCTGTTACTTGAAAAGTAGTTGAGCGATTTTGTTCATATTTGGTATTCGAATACTATTAGCATGGCACACTGTCTTATGACACTTTTGGTAGAAGGCGGCCATTTTGAAAAATGGCCTCCATTTTAAAGTATTTTACTATAACTCGAAAAGTAGTGGAGCGATTTTGTTCATATTTGGCATGTGAATACTATAAAAAAGCATATTACTTCTTCTGATGACAACTTTCTTATGTGTGTTATTTTATGATATTTGCTATATATTTCGTTTGTAAAAATGCCAGCTATTTCTGTTCGATGGGATTTGCTACGCTTTGGCGTTGCCGTTGTTCTGGTTATAAACATAACCAAATCAATTGTGAATGAACTTTAAAATTAAAAACACATAAATGTTATAAATTATGGTTCTGTGGGATTTTTACATATAGTATCCAAACTGATATAAAGTGAATATTTATTTGCTAAATATCATGTACTCTAGGGGCGAGGAGGGAAATTCTCAATAAATGGAGTATAGTTGGTTTGGCAGCATTTTCAGTTAGGGGAGAGTCTTGGATGAAATTTCCACCTAGGTGATAGCTTCACAGAGTGGTAGGAAGTTCTTTTTTTTGAAGAGTTAGCCCCCTACCCCACAAAAACACCCCACCCCAGGGAAAAAAATTGTTCACACTAAATAACCTTAGATATTTTGATGTTTGTAAGTGACATACATAGATATTATATATATGAATCATTTGCAGTATAATTGATGCTGATTACTCCTAAAAAAAATTGAATATTAGTACAAAGTGTGTACCCCAGGGGGCAAATTCGTGACCCATTTCCTTACTATTTTGATCCTTACTTTTCAACTAGACACTGTAAGAGGTTGAAAAAATTCATGTGAAGTGCCCAATAGCAGGGTTAGTAACCCTGAAAGATGCAAAGCCATGGAAGAGGTAGGAGCTGAGAAAAAAATTGTTGATTTTTCGAAAAATTTGACATTTTTGACAGCTGGATTTTGTGTATGACTATAGCTGACCCCTATAGTTCCTGGATCCATCCCTCTATGATGATATATATGGTTTTATAGTGTGGAACTAAGATGTAAAACATAATAAAGATGGGTTTTAAGGAAGTTTAAGGTTTTAAACAAGTCCAAAATTTGAAAAATTGTAAATATAAGGTTTCAAATTTACGAATTCCAGGTAGAGCCATGGCAGACCCCTATAGTTTCTAAATCCACCCCTCTATGGTGATATATATGGTATTGCTGTATGGAACTAATATGTAAAACACAATTTAGATGGGTTTAAAGGAAGTTTAAGGTTTTAAACAAGTTCAAAATTTGAAAAATTGTAAATATAAGGTTTCAAATTTACGAATTTCAGGTATAGCCATGGCTGACCCTTATGGTTTTTACATCCATACCTCTATGATTAAATATACAGTTTTAGAGTGTGGGACTAAGATTTAACATACCCAAAATGAATTTTAAGAAAGTTTAAGGTTTTAAACAAGTCAAAAATTTGAAGAATTGTAAATGTAAGTTTTCAAATTTATGAATTTCAGGTATAGCCAAAGATGACCCTTATGGTTTTTTACATCTATACCTCAGTGATGAGATATATATTTTTAGAGTATTTAACTAAAATGTAAAAGATCCATAAGATGAGTTTGAAGGAAGTTCAAGGTTTTAAACAAGTGCAAAATTTGAAAAATTGATCTCGAAAATTGGTCTCAAATTCACGTTATTCAGGTACAGCCTTGAATGAGCCCTGATAATCGAAGGTTATGAGCATAATAGTAACAACTGTGATATCATAGCTTAGAGACCAGGTGTAGAATATATACCTGTTGCAGCAGTTAGTCTGTTGCATATAGATGGAGTGAAAAGTCATGAACTACAGTAAAATCTTTCTAATCTGAATGCTACTAGATATAGTATTTGGACCAGCTAAAAACGTTCAAATTAGAAGTGTTTGAATTTTGAGGTTTTTACATCTGCAATATTCTGGATTTTGAAGAAATATGAATGCATTCTCAATGAAAAATATTAATAAATATTAATAATATTTATACTGACCACCCAAAAAGCTTAATAGCATTCCAAAATCCAATTCAAAAGTTTTGATATCATAACAATGCAGTGTTAAACTGACAATATTTGAGCAATTTTGTAAGAAATATGTGATATTTGGTAAAAAAAAAAGTTCAAGTTAAACAGGTTGATTTTTCAAATATGAGTGTTCACTGTTCGAATTAAGAGGTGTTCAGATTTCAATTTTTAAACATATAGGGAGTCAATGGGAGGAAGGAAAAATTGAACTGGGGAAAAGTGTTCAGATTGGTTGGTTTTCAGATAAGTCAGGTGTTGGGATGATTTGTAGGTGTTCACAATAGTCAGATGTTGGGATATACAGGTTTCACTGCTGATATATCATTTATACATCAAGATGATGAACTAGAACTACTGTACTAGGTGCCTTTGATAATTTTTACCACAATGTTATACTATGTCAGGAAAAGAAAGCACCCATGACACTGTGCTTGTACAACTTGAAAATCAACAACACTTTAACATTTGATAAAGGTGTCTACCAAATGAGTAATCCACATAAATTCAAATACAAGCACTTGGCATGCTATTCCCTATGATCATTAGTTTCATTAGTTTCTCTAGAATCTAAAATTGACCTTGGGTTTATGAGAGTAGTAAATTGGAATGCAGTTATATGGAATATTGAATTGGCTGGAATTGGACACACCTTGCCTAGAAATGTGTGAGTAAACTATGATCTTATATGGATACAAACAGTTCTTTTGACAATGATCATCTTAATTCTGTAAAATCAGAACTTAAAAAGGGGTTTGAAATGGAGATCGATGAAACCATACCACAAATTGATAAAACTTTCGTGATTGATGCAATGGCTATGACAAAGGGAAAATGAAGATTAACTTATATGTTGAAATTTGGAGAGTTTTGGAAAGCTATATTTGACTACTCCATCAAATCTAGTAAAGGAGCCCAAAGAATAGATTTCATATTAGACTCCTAGCTAGTTGTCTCCATCAGTAAAGGATTCTGAAAGAATGCGAAGAATGGATGCTTCCCCTATTGAACTTTAATCCATAGAAGAAATAACACAATAACCTAAATATATGAATACCTTTGTCCAAGTAATATAAGACAAATTTTCAAAGATTACAAAGAAATTCAATAAAGCAGAATTCTAAAAGTGTGCCAAATGTCAAGATTGTTTTAAGTGGAACTATTGGAGAGAACTCAAATATCTGTGAAAATGATAATTAAATCTCCTGTTAAATTCCACTCCTGAAGAGGCTGATTTTAAAATTATTCACTCTGTTTTACATTCAGCAGAACATGTGGGACTGCAGTAATTTGCATCAAATGACACTGATATTATAACTTTATGACTATCATTTCAATAAATAAAAAAAATTCTTCAACTATGCTAGAAAATGTCATCTGCAAAGTCAGTATGTAAACATTTTCTACAATGTCTGTTTGTTTGAAACATATTGATCATATCACCAATACTTTTTTGATCTACATGAAGATTTTAATGTGACAAGACACTTTTACCCTAGAGTTCCTTATCATTGCACTAACGGAAGTTTCTAGGCCCGGGGGGGGGGGGGTATGATCCTTTTAATCCTTATTTTCCCAAATAATTACTGTTGCCTGATGACAAATTGTTTTATTGGGAGTGTAGTGATTATAATTTGATAATTCATAACAACATTTTGTATTAGGAGATGATCATTGCTTAGTAACAGAAGGGGCATAACAAAATATAGAGAAAACATGTTTCTTTTAATTAACCATGTCTTTATGTATTTTGATAATGCAGAACATTACATCGAACATGTTGATGTGAAAAAGTAAAAATGCTATATCACATAATAAATATCATCAAATAATAATTAATTAGTTATAATCCATTTAATCAATCAATTACTACACTGTATACGATATCCCTAGGAGCAGTTACACTTACTGGGGGATTTATTAACCTCTCACCCCTTAGGAACTCAAGGGTTAAGTCCTCAACTCTAATGATTTTTCTTTTAACAATACATGTAACATGGATCAAACCTGACCACAATATTTTCAACATCTAATTTCTAAGCTAAGTCATACATTCAAAAAGAGGGACATCCAGGGCTATACCTGAAATCGTAAAGGAGGACTGGAAGTATCGCAACAGATTTCAGCAATCATATGTTGGATTTTGGCTATTTTCTGAGGATTTGAGGAGGTGCATATGTTAGGCCAATGCATTTCCTCCAGGAAAAGCACCCATAGAGATGATAAAATAATTTCTATTTTGAGACAGGGAAGGTGCAAACAACCCACCCACATGCATAAATATATATGTGTATATGTATAAATATATGTGTTTTTACATACAGTTAACCCCTTTAAATGAAAAATACATTCCATCAGGGATTTAAAGATATCACATATGGGTGACCAAAATTAAGCTGAAAGCAATGGATCACATGAGTTTTCCCTATGGGAAAATAACAGGAAAATATTGTTTTCCGCTTTATCTAAAAGAAATTTATCCTTTTAAAGGTTAACTATGTCTCAAAACGCAACATATTGATGCAACAAAAATTGAAAAACCAGGGGTGAACGGGGTTGAAAATCAGGACGATATTTCCCAAAAAACATGTGGGTGGATTGTTTTCACCTTTGCTGTCTCAAATTCCAAACTATTTTATCATCTCTAAGAGTTCTTTTCCCGTAGGTAATGCGATGGTCTATCATATGCACCTGCTTAAATCCTCAGAAAACAGACAAAATCCAACATATGACTGTCTGAAATCTGTTGCGATACTTTCCGTGCTCCTTTGAGACCTGATATTTCTCAATTTTTCAAATATTGCACTTGTTAAAATTCTTAAACTTCCTTAAAATTCATCTTCGGTATGTTTTACATCTTAGTTTCACACTCTAAAAGTATATGTTTCATCATAGAAGTATTGATGAAAAAGCCATAAGGGTCATCCATGGCTATACCTAAAATTCGTAAATTTGAAACCTTATATTTACAATTTTTCAAATTTTTGACTTGTTTTAAATCATTAACTTCCTTAAAACCCATCTAAATTATGTTTTACATCTTTAGTTCCATACTACAAAACCATAAATATCATCAAAGAGGGATGGATCTAGAAACTATAGGGGTCAGCCATGGCTCTACCTGGAATTCGTAAATTTGAAACCTTACATTTACAATTTTTCGAATTTTGGACTTGTTTAAAACCTATAACTTCCTTAAAACCCATCTAATTTATGTTTTACATCTTAGTTTCACACTATGAAAGCATAAATATCATCCAAGATGGATGGATCTATAAACTATAGGGGTCAGCCATGGCTATACCTGGAATTCGTAAATTTGAAACCTTATATTTACAATTTTTCAAATTTTGGACTTGTTTAAAACCTTTAACTTCCTTAAAACCCATCTAAATTATGTTTTACATCTTAGTTCCACACTATAAAACCATAAATATCATCATAGAGGGATGGATCTAGAAACTATAGGGGTCAGCTATAGTCATACACAAAATCCAGTTGTCAAAAATGTCAAATTTTTCGAAAAACCAACAATTTTTTTCTCAGGTCCTACTTCTTCCATGGCTTTGCATCTTTCAGGGTTACTAACCCTGCTATTGGGCACTTCACATGAATTTTTTCAACCTCTTACAGTGTCTAGTTGAAAAGTTAGAATCAAAACAGTAAGAAAATGAGTCACGAATTTGCCCCCTGGGGTACACACTTTGTACTGATATTCAAATTCTTTAGGAGTAATCAGCATCAATAATACTGCAAATTATTCATATATATAATAGCTATGTATGTCACTTACAAACATCAAAATATCTAAGGTTATTTAGTGTGAACAATTTTTTTCCCCAGGGTGGGGTGTTTTTGGGGGGTGGGGGGCTAACTCCTCAAAAAAAAGAACTTCCTACCACTCTGCGAAGCTATCACCTAGGTGGAAATTTCATCCAAGACTCTCCCCTAACTGAAAATACTGCCAAACCAACTATACACCATTTATTGAGAATTTTCCTCCTCGCCCCTTGAGTAATGCGGGAATAAATATTTTACTTACTGGGAAATGTTCCAGAATGATACTGTTCAGAACTGTCCCTATGGCATAATATGAACCAGTATTCAGACCTGAAATACAGACAAAACATTTTAGTAAGTGTATAGTATTCACAATTATGTACACTCTCCATGATTAGTTTGGAAATTGGAAGTTTTCACTGGATACCATTTCAAAACCTGTTGATGTTTGAATCTTAATTCTGTTCCTTAATCACAATACTTCTGAAATTCATAACAAATATGCTTTAGAAATCTTCAAACATAAATAAACTTTGATGAGTGATCAAACAGGGGACTTTAACTTTCCAAACTTATGGAGGGGAGTGTATATATACTAGATACATATATCACTTATGGAGGGGAGTGTATAATTACTAGATATATATATCACTTATGGAGGGGAGTGTATATATACTAGATACATATATCACTTATGGAGGGGAGTGTATATATACTAGATACATATATCACTTATTGAGGGGAGTTTATATATACTAAATATATATATCACTTATGGGGGAGAGTGTATATATACTAGAAACATATAGTGTATATCACTTATGGAGGGGAGTGTATATATACTAGATACATATATCACTTATGGAGGGGAGTGTATATATACTAAATATATATCACTTATGGAGGGGAGTTTATATATACTAAATATATATATCACTTATGGAGGAGAGTGTATATACACTAGATACATATATCACTTATGGAGGGGAGTGTATAATTACTAGATATATATATCATTTATGGAGGGGAGTGTATATACTAGATACATATATCACTTATGGAGGGGAGTGTATAATTACTAGATATATATATCACTTATGGAGGGGAGTGTATATATACTAGATACATATATCACTTATGGAGGGGAGTGTATAATTACTAGATATATATATCACTTATGGAGGGGAGTGTATATATACTAGATACATATATCATTTATGGAGGGGAGTGTATATATACTAGATATATATATTACTTTTGGAGGGGAGTGTACTAACATGATATGAATAGATGTTTATACAAACACAGGATATTATTGTCTGATATACAAATATTGCACAGTCTAAACATGATAAACTGACATCAAATATATGTACTCAGCAATCCATAAATTTTACCATGGTGATAAACCATGACATCTCATTTCATCTCAGTTATGAGATGCCACAGAATTATTTTTAAGAATTGGTGATCCAGGAGAGCCCAGATTAGAAGCATTAAATGAGATCTTTCATTTCAGCCTACATGTATATTCCATCTATCTAATTAGAAGACATTGTGGGGTTCATCTGTGTCTTTGTTTCAATAACACAGATGCGGGTAGGTAGTTACCAGTTTCACCACCAGATGGCTCGTTTGGGTCAGATAGCATGGCGGCTATAGAAGAAAGTTCCCTTTAACTTAAATTACATCTGTTTTAGTGGTTCAATTTTCATACAACCCTTATGTATCTAATAGTTATGCAAATTAAAATATGTCCAGTAAAAGAAAATGTTATCTGTCCAATACAAGAAAATATATTTCACTTTTTGTGATTTTGTAACATGGGGTCTATGGGAAATCCACCCGAACAAGAAGTCACATTTTCAAAAAAATTAAATTTTCAAAAGTGATAAACAACTTTCGAAACCATATATTAAGATATACTTTTACATGTAGATTTCAAATATGACATCACTTTGACTGAATTTTGAATATTTAATGACGTAAATCAAGATTATTTCTACTCGCATCTAGTCTATTGAATGGCAATGCCAATAGAATACAATGCAATATATTGTTATGCAATACTCGTATGGGCATTAAACGCCAATATTAATTACATTGTACATGACAAAAACCATACTCAGATAAGCTGCTATTAAGAATATGTCTCATAATATCAGAGGCTCAGAGAATAATTCTGATAAAAGATGGAAGAATATCAGAATGAGCGAATTGAACCATTTCTAGCATTTTTTACCAACCTCCACCATTTAATATGAAAATCACAGACAATATTTACAAATTCAACGTTATTTTCAAAAATATACATCAACAACAAGAATAACTGAAAATCAATGTACTGGAGGGTTAAGATCCAATTATCAGTAGAACCTAACTGCAGTGGGTTTAATCAAAAATGCTAATTTCCTCAATTGGAATAACAAGAAGATATTCTGAAGAAGGCCTTCGGTGAATAGCCCAGTTGATTGGATAGACATGTCTTCTTTAAACATCTACAATTGGGGTCAACTCAGTCTCACTCAGAAGTTTTTTACTTGAGTATGTGCGGTCTCATCTTTCAAACAAAGGCATTCACATATTGATTTCAGATGGAGGCTATATTTCTAAGGCCATATGACCAGTGGTAATGGCCCTATATAGAAAATCAAGTTAAATTAAAGCTCTGATTGGCAAGGTGATTTCAGAGGTTTTTCTTTCTGTGTAAAGGTGAAGCTTTCTTTTAACAAGCTTAGTGTTGTCAATTGGATGCAAATGGCAGTGAGTCTTTAATAACAACATTCTATACTCAGTATTATTAATTGTTAACACATCTGGGATCAGTGACCTCTGAGAGCAAATCAATATATTTATTGATCATGACTGGTGCTGAAACGAACCTGTTTTTATATGTATCTGGTTTCATATGGCAAGTGCATTCAGTATATTTATTGATCACATATGAACTAGTTCACTGTGACATCACCAATAGGTATTATGATGGTATAAAAACATAAACACACGCAAAATGTCAACAACTGAATTTTGTTACCAAAGGCCAACTGCCCGCCACCAAGTGAAACCCTAACAATATGTCACCACTTTTGATCTGACGTATATCCACCTGCTCTCCATTTACTACCTATAAGTAGCTAAGCCTTCATTTCCCATTCAAACACCTCTTGTTATAGATCATTTAGACCTTATGAGCATTTAAACTGAAATCAGATATGTCATACTCAGAGGGTCATACACCTAACCAATTGACCCAGGGTAAGAGCTGAAAGTCTCAGGTGTTTGCTGATCACTAGTCATTCAGTCAACAAGTGAATCCCTATTAGCTATAATCCAATAAGAGCAAACTGAAAAGCTAATATTACATTTAATTATCTGCTACTTCTGAATGTTATTTCCTCTGCAAACAATTCACTGGATTTCCTTACTTTCAATAAGGAACACAGTTACTGTTTCAATTTATGACTGCTTTGTGGAAAAGAACATCTTATTAGGTTAATATGCATTTACATGATGTGTACATCTCCAGTAAAACTTGTATTAGTGAACACAACTCTCTCAAGTGAACACCTGTCTCTAGTGGACATCATTCCCCAGTACATACTATATTGATTACAGTATAAGTTACCCTATTTGTAGTGAACACCCACCTACACTGAGTGTTTTTTTATCAGCAAAATAATGGTCAATATACACAGGTTTTACTGTATAAACAGGGTGGGCCAAAAAATGCCACTTTTTTCAAGACACTATAACTTTTTTATACAAACAATTTACAATCAATGGCTAGATAGCATCCTCAAGTTCAAGTTTTGTATCAAAAATTAAAAAAGCATCTAAAAAAAGTGGCGTTTTTTGGCCCACCCTGTTTGTAACATTTTATAACTTAACCTGTCTTGACCAAATGCCACTGAGACCAGTGTTCTGATTGGCAAGTGGTCACATTCGTAGTATTGTTCACATTCATAGTATTGTTCACATTCATAGTATTGTTCACATTCATAGTATTGTTCACATTCATAGTATTGTTCACATTCATAGTATTGTTCACATTCATAGTATTGTTCACATTCATAGCATTGTTCACATTCATAATATTGTTCACATTTCATAGTATTGTTCACATTCATAGCATTGTTCACATTCATAGCATTGTTCACATTCATAGCATTGTTCACATTCATAGTATTGTTCACATTCATAGTATTGTTCACATTCATAGTATTGTTCACATTCATAATAGTGTTCACATTCATAATATTGTTCACATTCATAGCATTGTTCACATTCATAGCATTGTTCACATTCATAGGATTTTTAATACAGAAATCCAAGAGAGATTTAATTCAAGACACCCTAAAAGTGTTCTAATTGAGAAGTGTTCATTAAAGAGATGTTGGGATATACAGGACTTCATGTTCTTCTTAGACATAATACTCAGCAATGCTGTGGAATACACATAGTTAGTGAACTCATGAAGAAACCATCCTTCCTCATATAAGAAGCAATAAATATTTCATTCAAAGGCTCATTATTCATTTTCATGTTATAATATTGAGCAACAGAAACAATGATAATGAGAATGAAATGATATAGAAACCTTCCCTTGTACAAATATTTTGAATAGAGCTAATTTCAAATGTGAAATCTATCTTTAATTTGACTTGTAGAGTTTATGGAATGAAGAGATTGGGATTTCTGTATTTATCTTACTTCAGTAGTTTCCCTTGTAATTTTCCATGTGTTCTTTTTTGTTATTTGGCAAGAAAATCAATAAGTGCTATAACTTATCACTTTACCGCAAAGTTCAGATTGAGGCCATCAGCAATCGGTTGAGTTCGAGAATGAGTAGATAAAAATTATGTTCAAGCCAAAGGATTATAGAGCACGATGCTTCCAAAGGTTAACATTCAGCTTTCAATTGCAACCTTTGTCTATTAATTATTTATTTTCAATTTAGGACTTTAGGAAAGAGGAATGGTACAACACGTAATACAACCCTTATAAAAAACAAGCATTTTTTTTCCGAAATTCAATGGTTTCATTGCATATCATGTAACCATCATCCAAAGTGGAATCAAGTTTATGCAGTTCTATGATTCAGCAGGGGAAGATCTGGGAACCAACAAGGGGGTTGGGCATATTTGAAGTCTGAAATTTTGAAAATTCAAGGCCCATTCATTTTGTTGATAATTTGGCCTAAAACTTACAATTAAGGCCTTAAAAGGCCCAGATATGCCCAAAAAGGCCCAATTCTTGAGCTCCTAAAACCCGGCCAGAGATTCAGAGCAAGACATCTAAAACCTGCATAATCGAACACCTCTCTTATCAATTTCAACACTTTTTCTTAAACCCAATTTTATTCTCGCCACTGAGTCACATATTAAGAAACAAACTTGTTATGTGAACACCTGCTAATCTGAACACTTTTGGTTGGTCATAGAGGTGTTCGGATTAGACAGGTTATACTGTAGATATTTTCATTTTTCCCGAGGGGATTCACTAAAATCAGTATTTTCAGAACATTGACTCTTATGTGTTAAAAGGTCAATCTGACATTTTGGCTTCAGTAATAAAATTTGAACATCCATCTTCAATAAGTCGCCCCTAGCAACTTAATAAAATTCTCCATTGCAATTGGTTAATCTTGGTCATGTGACTTGGACTGACATGTTAATATGCCTATAATCTGATTGAATGTGTAATACTATTATTGTAAAAGCCCTCGTGGAATAATTGGTTTTGTTACAATACTAGGATTAAGAAAATTGTTAACATATTTTTCAGTTAATCAAACCAATTTGTTCTAGCCCAGCAGGGTAGTAGTTGGCACCACTATACAACACTTTACAGTGATTAAAGTTAAGAAATTTATTTGCCTTTTATAAAATCACTCCTGTATTTTTGAATGCCAATCTTCAAAGTTAGAATTAGCAACTAGGAAATGCACCCAGTTAAAATGACCATTTGCACCCAAATGAAAATCCATTTGCATCCAAATGAAAATCCAACTGCACCAAAATGAAAATCCATTTGCACCCAAATGAAAATTCATTTGCACCCAAATGAAAATCTATTTGCACCCAAATGAAAATCCATTCGCACCCAAATGAAAATCCATTTGCATCCAAATGAAAATTTTGGTATATAGTAAAGATTAACTTTGTCTATAGTTTTGGACATATTTTTACAGGAGATCTGCTATAAATCTAAACAATAATGTAGCACAGGATACTAGAAATTATTTACATGGATTTTCAATTATACATATAAGGAATAAGACCATGATTTTATGATTTATGGCACAATAAATGAAAATTTTATTCTGTTCTTTATTAAAAGACCGATTGAGGTCTTTGTCAAGCAGGCCAGAATAAAATCAAAGGTCATATATTTGCCATAAATCATAGAAATCTAGGTCTTTGTTCAGACTCTAATATCATGATATAAAACCAGAAAAACCACTTTTTAAATAAGTGGTCATATAAGCCCCAATAAAGACCAATAAATCAAATATCATATTAGGATTGGACATATCATATTATTTCTGAGTGACCTGAGAAGACATTATACAAGAACAATTTCTTACCATATGATAAAGTCAGCAGAATGAATCCTGGATTCTTTAATAGTCTTTTCAGAGAACCTGTGAAGTCATCACTATCAGTTGTAATGGCTGCCACTGACTGGGCTTGACTTGGAGGGTACTCAGGCTTTTCTTTAAATACTGAAAAACATGTAATTCACTATCAGTTGTAATGGCTGCCACTGACTGGGCTTGACTTGGAGGGTACTCAGGCTTTTCCTTAAATACTGAAAAATAATGTAATTTACTGTAATGGCTGCCACTGACTGGGCTTGACTTGGAGGGTACTCAGTCTTTTCTTTAAATACCGAAAAACATGTAATTCACTATCAGTTGTAATGGCTGCCACTGACTGGGCTTGACTTGGAGGATACTCAGGCTTTTCTTTAAATACTGAAAAACATGTAATTCACTATCAGTTGTAATGGCTGCCACTGACTGGGCTTGACTTGGAGGGTACTCAGGCTTTTCTTTAAATACTGAAAAACATGTAATTCACTATCAGTTGTAATGGCTGCCATTGACTTGGCTTGACTTGGAGGGTACTCAGGCTTTTCTTTGAATACTGAAAAACATGTAATTCACTATCAGTTGTAATGGCTGCCACTGAATGGGCTTGACTTGGAGGATACTCAGGCTTTTCTTTGAATACTATAAAGCATGTAATTTACTATCAGTTGTAATGGCTGCCACTGACTGGGCTTGACTTGGAGGGTACTCAGGCTTTTCTTTAAATACTATAAAACATGTAATTTATTATCAGTTGTAATGGCTGCCACTGACTGGGCTTGACTTGGAGGGTACTCAGGCTTTTCTTTAAATACTGAAAATCATGTAATTTACTATCAGTTGTAATGGCTGCCACTGAATGGGCTTGACTTGGAGGGTACTCAGGCTTTTCTTTGAATACTGAAAAACATGTAATTCACTATCAGTTGTAATGGCTGCCACTGACTGGGCTTGACTTGGAGGGTACTCAGGCTTTTCTTTGAATACTGAAAAACATGTAATTCACTATCAGTTATAATGGCTGCCATTGACTTGGCTTGACTTGGAGGGTACTCAGGCTTTTTTTTGAATACTGAAAAACATGTAATTCACTATCAGTTGTAATGGCTGCCATTGACTTGGCTTGACTTGGAGGGTACTCAGGCTTTTCTTTGAATACTGAAAAACATGTAATTCACTATCAGTTGTAATGGCTGCCATTGACTTGGCTTGACTTGGAGTGTACTCAGGCTTTTCTTTGAATACTGAAAAACATGTAATTCACTATCAGTTGTAATGGCTGCCACTGGATGGGCTTGACTTGGAGGATACTCAGGCTTTTCTTTGAATACTATAAAACATGCAATTTACTATCAGTTGTAATGGCTGCCACTGACTGGGCTTGACTTGGAGGGTACTCAGGCTTTTCTTTAAATACTATAAAACATGTAATTTACTATCAGTTGTAATGGCTGCCACTGACTGAGCTTGACTTGGAGGGTACTCAGGCTTTTCTTTAAATACTATAAAACATGTAATTTACTATCAGTTGTAATGGCTGCCACTGACTGGGCTTGACTTGGAGGGTACTCAGGCTTTTCTTTAAATACTGAAAAACATGTATTTTACTTTCAGTTGTAATGGCTGCCACTGACTGGGCTTGACTTGGAGGGTACTCAGGCTTTTCTTTAAATACTGAAAAACATGTAATTTACTATCAGTTGTAATGGCTGCCACTGACTGGGCTTGACTTGGAGGGTACTCAGGCTTTTCTTTAAATACTGAAAAACATGTAATTTACTATCAGTTGAAATGGCTGCCACTGACTGGGCTTGACCTGGAGGGTACTCAGGCTTTTCTTTAAATACTAAAAACATGTAATTTACTATCAGTTGTAATGGCTGCCACTGACTGGGCTTGACTTGGAGGATACTCAGGCTTTTCTTTGAATACTGAAAAACATGTAATTCACTATCAGTTGTAATGGCTGCCACTGACTGGGCTTGACTTGGAGGGTACTCAGGCTTTTCTTTGAATACTAGAACAACATGTACATGTAGTTCAGTGGATGTCAAAGAGATTCAAAGGCATTAGTCAAAATTAAAATGCACACCTGGGCCTCAGGTTCAGAATTGCTGCGCTATGAAGCATTTTGACAAAAAAGCTTCGCAACAATATGTTATTTTCAAAAAATATATTTAATTTTTTTTTTACTAGTTTCTTGGGAAGTTAACTGCTATATATGGACCAGTTGAGCCAATATATTTGTGGCATCAGCACACAAATTATAAAATAAAGTATACAACATGCAAATGAACTGAAATAAATTCATGTTAATTCTAGCTATGAACATTGACAATGTTTATGGTTTCATGTTGACAATATCTATGTTAGTAAAATGGGGGATAGGTGGGCTCAAATATACAGTATGTTTTCAGTTCAAATTAAAACTTTGAATTAAATAATTTCATCATGAAGAAAATCTCAGTGAGAAAGTAAGCTTTTCAATTTTTTAAAAAAATCAAAAATTCCAAACATGAAGCCAAATGAATAGGTAAATTAAATAACAAGTATTCACCTCATATGAAGATATATTAAACATGAATAACTCAGTCACAATTACTATCTCTCATTTACATGATAAATAAACACGTACTTGAGGTGTGAATGTGTGAGGTCTGTTGATAGTTCAAAATCACTTATACCCCACAAAAGGTGAACATTGGGAAAAGCCTCTTCACATTCAAAAATATGCAACCTTAATAAAAATAAAGACCGTCCACAAATAATAAACTTGGAACAAAAAACTGAAATATGAAACAAATATGGTACTAAAGCATTCAGCTGACTTCAAATTTGAAACAAAAGACATTGAGACTATTTTCGATAATTTCACAAAAAGGACTCAAGATTTGAAGCATTCATGCCTTTGGTTGAAAACATAATTGCCAAATTCAGCATACATACTGGCATTCTGACCATTGCCCAAAAAGTAACCCATTTTTACCAAGTTCATTAGAATGCAAGAGTGAAAATTGCCATTTGTAGTCAGACCACTGTAAGTTTCGAACTCTGACAATTTGACTAGGCTGTAGCTAGACTCAGGGCACATAACACATGTACTTACACAGAATTACTAAGATGCATTGCAAGACTGCTAAACCAGCCGTACTGTACAACATGTAGCCTAGTCTACGCCCTACCACATCTTTATCTGGATCATCTATCACAATCTCTGGGGGAAGAAGGAACCCTAGGGCACACCCAAACTGAAACAGAAAAAATTACCAGTGTGTAATTAATAACAGGATATGGGAGCTCACTTTAGAGAAAGGACAGTAGTTAAGAATTCTCCAGTTGTGAGTAGTCTTGCTTCAAAACCCTCTTAACTACTTTAACAACAGGCTGTTGTAAAGTAGATAAGAGGAGAGTCCAGGATCTTGAAGCAAGACTTGTTTTGAGTATTGAGATAAAAATTATGTATGATATCTTGTTTCAAGTTAGTTCATACCATTGGAAAGTCAATGAGAGTACATGAAAGATAATTTAGGCAATGAAGGGGATTAAAGATATTTCTTTGTTTTGATGAATGGAAGAGGAAAGGAGGTCATCCTAAGATTGAAAAATGGTACCACATCAAATGAATCTACAGTAAAACCTTCATATTCCCACTCCTTTCTAATCCAAACACCTCTCAATGTAAACCCCCTTTCCCTGTCATGATTTTGTTATTACTCTCATTGACATGTACATTTTTTACAATTTTTTTTTGAACCCCCCCCAAAAAAACCATGTACATTCTAAGAAACCTTGAATTGTGAACACCTGCTAATCCAAACACTTTAGGTCAGTCCCAGTGGTGTTCGGATTAGACAGGTTTTACTGTATGTGGTTTTGTCAGTTTGACCTAAAGAACCAATGTGTGGTGCTTATTCTATACTGCATGGGATGAGTAGAATATTTACATGTTCACACTTCAACTTGTTTATTTACATTCAAACTATATGTCCTTGTTCAGATGTTGTTGACTTAGTTGATAATGCAGGCCCTCATATAATTTTCCATTATCTAGTTCAATCAATATTTAACAATAGGGTATCAAACCTTTAAATAAATGAGGAATAACATTACACCTGCTGCTCAAATGATATCAAACATATTTCTGCATTTAGCTGTTTTAAATAGAATTGGAGATATCATGTATATCTAATAACTTGTCAAATAGGGGAAAATTAAGAAACAACAATTAGAGAACTGAGAACAATGACAAGTTGACTTCAATCTTTGCCCCTTGTAGTAAGGTGAATTATGGGCTAATATAACCTGGACTTTGTAATAAATACTTAAACTATAGACCAGAATCTAGATGTAAAAGTCTAACTATTAATCTATAAAATACTTCATCCAATTGGATAAGTGACAAAAAAAACAAAACAATTGGCACAAAAATATTAATGACATTAGCCAAACCAAAAAACCAAATGCACAGAAATAAGTAAAATCATATGTCATTAATCCCTTGAAATATTTAAACAAGGATTCAATGTAAGTAATTTACATCTCAGATCAGAGATTAACATACATGTAATATATTCATCCAAGCTAAGATGCAGACATTTTCTACCCCATCCTTATGAAATGCAATGTATTCTGGTCAATTAAAAATATGAACTTTAAAAATGTAGACTCACATATTAATTAATGAATGCAATCGGATATTTTCATATACAATGATTAAATTGAAGATGAACAGAACAGCCCCGCACAATAACGCAGATGCGAGTAGGTAGTTACCAATTTCACCACCAGGTGGCTCGTTCGGGTCAGATAGCATGGCGGGTATGGTAGAAAGTTCCCTTTAACTTAAATTACATCTGTTTTGGTGGTTCAATTTTCATATAACCCTCATGTATCTAATAGTTATGCCAATTAGAAAATGTCCAGTAAAGGAAAATGTTATTTGTCGATTACAAGAAAAGATATTTCACTTTTTGTGACTTTGTAACATGGGGTCTATGAGGATTCAACCCGAACTAGAATTCACGTTTACAAAATAAATTAAATTTTCAAAGTTGATAAACAATTTTCGAAACCACATTTCTAGACGTACTTTTACATGTAGATTTCAAATATGACATCACTTTGACTGAATTTTGAATATTTAATGACGTAAATCAAGATTATTTCTACTCGCATCTAGTTTATTGGCTGTATAACTGACATCAAATTTGGCATTTTTCTATGTTACAGTAGCTGGTACACAAGCACTCCTCTACTTAACGTAACATGTACTTTAAACCATGTTTACTGAAATTACACATTGCATTTAGCGTCATAATAATTTTAAGATAGCCCATTATTTTATCTCCAACACATGTTTAGCACATCATTGCCTCACACTTCATATAACACTTGACAAGTTGTACAAGACAAACATAGACACACAAGTAGATGTATAAGTACCAGATATACATCACATATAGTTCTAAATATTCCAAGCAGTTTTGTATCACTTCATCAAATTTTAAGCTATTTCGTGCTAAATATTTGACTGGAAATTACCATATTTTTATCATATCCTTAGCCTATCATATACATTTTAGAAAAATCTTCCATTTTTTACTGAAATCTTCCAGAATTTTTCAGAATTTTCGAATATAATTTCATAAATATCTCATACAACGAGGCTATTATTGTCATCATTAATGTTGTCTTAACCGGTTTAAAGTTATGAATGTATCAAGTATTATGACCAATACATCTTTGAAACATTGTGTACAAGTAATTAATTAATGTTCAAGACACAATGTGTGAATCAACGATAAAAATAGCATAAAAAGCTATACAGTGTCAGTCAAACAGTGGGGCAGGTGTTAAATACCATTTCAGATGATTTCACTATTATACTGTATAGATATTACGTCCATAAGTGAAGTTTGCACAAATTCCAGTTGTATTACCTTATCATAACAGGTAACTAGTGAATGCTAGATTTTAAAAAAAAGATCCATAATGGGTTTCAGCATATTGGATTCAGTAATCAAAATCATTGAAATAGACCCAAACATCATAAAGTTTTATTTCTGGTTCAAAATACATTGCAAATTTTTCTGCCATATATCCAAGGAGGCACTATTTTAGACATGACTTAGGTCAATCAAATTTAATTGAAATTTGCCTTGAAACAAGCATTCAACACACTTGTTGAATGCTTGAACATTAGACTCAAAGCAATAGTTAGTGTTCAAAGGGGAGAAGTCAAAAAGTTAATAGATATATTGGATCACTTGTCTATTGAAGTTGACATAAAAAGTTCAAACTTAGAACTAAAATGTGATCTTTGAACAATTAAGTTCAAATAACTACGTCTAAAGTGATTTACGACAAGCTGTAATAGGTGTAAGAACGTGATATGATTGCAAACTGATAATGTGTGTCTTTCTGATACATATACGCTGTTTTTTTAATTCAAATGTTGCCCTTTATCATGAATTGTAAGAAGGTTCTATGCTGAATTGTGAAGTGCACAACATTTAAGTACACTGGGGACATGTAGACTGAAAATATAATTGTGATATGAATTTATATACCTGGTTGCCAAATACACCTATAGCCGTTGCCGTGGAGACCTCATTAGGCCCGAACCAGAGGGCAGCCAGTCTTGGGGGCACTTCAAGAATAAAACTCTGAGCTATAGCAGAACATGTCTGTCCAGCCATCAACACACCAAACCTGTGAGGATTCACTGCAAAGCACTTTATACTTGCACCTAGTGCATTAAGAAATGTTGCTATTATTCCTGACCAGCGTAGACCTTTTCTAGTAAGTAACCAAGTTGCTGGGAATATAAAGGGAATATATGACGCCATATAAATCATACTCAACCAGTCTATGGCAACCTGTTGTTGATATTCATCAGCTGGAAGACTCTCATTGTAGTATCTCTTTGTAATATTGCCAATAATGTTCAGGTATATCCACTGGAAAGCACTACATGCTGAATATGACGCAAACAGCAACAACTGGAACCAGCGTCTTATATATAATCTGGTTTCTATGACAACCTCAGATTCTTCACCCTCATTTGCCAGTGCCTCATTTTCATTATCTCCCACAAAAGTCACAGTTGGAGCTTTTCCATTTGCTTCATGTATGGCATCACCATTTCCTGCACCATTTGGTGGTTTATATTCCCCATTAGATGTATTTGAGATAAAGGAATCTTGTGCCGTCAATTGGCGCTGATCCGTATTACGTCGCTTAAGACCTGGCTGAGAGTTGCCCATGCTTGAATCCTCTCCTACTTCAACCTTAAAATAGAAAGTACAATACATTAAAACTAGGCACAATTGTTAATTTTTTTAATAAATAATAAATAAATGAAATTTCATCAATGTAAATACCAAAAATGCAAACTGTGACCATAAACAATTTTAACAAAATGAATGAGTATTTTACTTTAATAATAACGAATACAGTAAAATAAAAAATGTCACCGATAGCATAGGCTACTAACTTAGCTAAATAGGCTACTAGCTAAATCATTCCCTCACTTAACTGTCTTATTTTCAATTAATAAAATGTTTACTTTCAACCAAATGTGTTATAAAGCTAACTACTGATATCTCCGTCACATGTGTAGTTTAAGGATCAAAGAATACATTACATTAGTCAGGTACAAAGAACTTCTATCAAAAAATGCACCAAGGCATGATTAACTTTTCTTGCATTTAAATGGTCGCAGTGGTCTCCACATGATTTTTTCTCAAGTGGGTGCAAAATTCTCATTTTCACAATTCAGACTAAAATTGGTCAAAATATGCCTATTTTTCATGATTTTTCTCATTTTCAAGTCAAGGCAAATGGATTTTCAGGTGGGGAGATCACTGCGTTATCACTCAAGTTATCTTTGTATACAAGTTAATATCTAAAATGCAATTTATGTGTACACATATGGTATAGCAAATATGTTGTCATAGCAATCTGTTCTATTATTCATTTTTGTAAAACATTGTTGAATATTATTTTTCAAATGAATGCTTGTTCTAACACATTCTACATTGCTCGTTTTTTTCAAAATATGAACCTTTGAAAGTACATTCAAAGACTGCTTACTGTTGTACCCTTTAAAGCAGTCTTTAGACTGAAGATTGGGAGTGTTCTATGCAGTTTTTCATATCATCTTTATTTAAATAAAACAAAAGCAAACTTTTGAGTTGAAAGAATATGATGATAATACTAATTTTAAGAACGAAAAAGTCAAAATATTTCTAATGCAAATTGCATTGATCATTGGAAGATAAAGATAGTCTGCCCGATATCTGCTTAAATGTGGTGTACACATAGAATATTTCTTTTGATTGGAGTATCAAATAATAGGCGGGCTCATTAGAAAGTCATTCAGATTTGTGAAGTTAAGTCATATCTGTAATTCAGAGCAACTTTAATCTGTGAAATTTAGATTTAAGTTTAGAAAGGATGATGGACTCCTTTATGGTTTTCTAAACTTGCAGCTATAAAAATGTGGTTTTCAGCATTGTAAGCCTAATGTCTCTCAATCAAAGAAATGATAAAGAACTAGTAATAGTTGATTAAGATAAGTTTATTGGGATAAGGATTTAAAAGGATAAGGTCATGTGATCAGTACCAGTAATATACATAATTTATAGTTCTTGTTTATTGGTTTCTTGGTAATGTTATGATTCTCAATAGCAAGTTGTTACTATAGTCTCTGCTGTAATCTCTGTTAATCTAGAGTCCACTTCACTGCTTCATTGCGTCAGTAGAACGGCAAAAATAAAAAATTGGGAGACCATTGTGCAATAATATATGGAAAAGTATATTCATAATGTACATGAATGACATTTGTATATTTCAGATTTTTTAGTTTTTTGTGCAATAAGCCTGTGCTGTCTTGTAATTTGAAGAATTTCATCCATGTTAATCTTATTGAAAATAACATGGCAGAGAAGCATCCAAATATAAGAGGCCACACACTTTATAAGCCAAACTATAAGCAATCCAAGGTATACAAATGTCATTCATGTACAATAGGAATATATTTTTCCATATATTATAACAAAATGATATTTTGATTTCTTATTTTTTAGCTTTTACTGACGCAGTTAAACAGTGAAATGGACTCTAAATAGAAGTTGAGTCGTAAATTTAAGAGTTCCCTCATGATTGGGACCCTCACATGCCTTCCAGATGGTAGTAAACACTCCAGTGATCTCCCCAGCATTAAAGTAAGTGGGCGCAGCACCCACCTGAGATTTTGAAAATAGGCTTGCACCCATCTGAAAATCCATTTGCACCCACTTGAAAATGAGAAAAATCATGAAAAATTGGCATATTTTAACCAATTTTGGTCTACATTGTGAAAATGAGAATTTTGCACCCACCTGAGAAAATCCTGGGGAGATCACAGCACTCTCTAACCATGAGTACAGTAATGAAAGATATGAAAACGAACTGAAAATTTACTTACTGGCTTGTCATTTCGGGAGTTATGATACGTTAAATTACCGAACATAAGTGAAACTGGAATGTTTGTTTGTTCACTTAAGCTAGCTATAAGAAAAGCAAATATACGGGCAGTGAATCTTCCCATATGTGATTGATTGCCGCTATGGTGACATGTCAACAAAATAAATTTTGTGACTCAAACGATACAATCATACATTTCGTGATAGGGCCAACATCATCATATGTGCAGAGATGTGAAAAATGAAACGTTCAAACATTTCTAAGACCAACTTCTTTCTAATTTATATAAAGTACTATATTACTCTACTCATGCTTTATCTGGACAGAATTAAGTTCACGGAAAGTCATGTGTAAGAGGTACGTTAGGGTCCCCTTCATGAGATAACTCTTACATTTCCGACTCAACATCTGACTATTTTAAAAAATTAACAGAGTTTAGTAACTAGCCCCACGAGCGGTAGAGCGTCAGACTTTGGAGCGGAAGGCCCTAGGTTCGATTCTCGCACGGGGCATTGAATTTAGCACACCCTTATGTAGATTCTAGTAGCTGGCTCGTTATACTTCAGATCCCCGGATGAGACATGTACACTACAATGTCTGGCAGTATATTAATAACCTGATTATATCTACACTCTTGAATACAAATGCAACTTTTTCAGAATGTCAACAAAATATCAATTTTATTTCATCAGTCATTTGTTGATGATTTCGGAAAAATATTTTTTTCTGTAAACTCGTGCATTATACGTTTGTTTCTTATCTTCGAAAATATGTCCTTAGTAAAGCTGTATATAGATGTAATAATAAAACACAAACCTGGTGATGTAGTTTGTATGAATCACACGATAATTTAATATTTATTCGGAGAAAACATTTCTCCCATTTCCATTAGAAACCTTGACCCTCAGCTGATTACACTAAACGAAATTCCCGGGAACAAGTTTTGCTTTCTAATTAAACACGATTAGCCTAGATCCCGGGGTATTACAAAAGGTGAAGGCCCGGTGTAAAAGGGTAGGAGGTCCTATTAATTAAAGGTCCTACTCTCCATTGATTTATATGGTGACCCCTTTCCTTTATTATCTTATACACAATCAGGGCCAATAAGGGCCTTTAAAAAGGGGACCATAATCCTTAGGGGACCATAACTTGTTTTCACACAGGGTCTCACGTTGGTACACGTACCCTGGATCAGATAAGAAAGATCAAGAAAAGAAATGATTTTATAGGTCATTTATAGATTTTGATAACGTTTAAAAGGATAGTGAAAATAAAGAACTTTGCCGAAAATGATTCTAGGTTTCGGGAACATGGGGCAACAACAGCCCTCCGTACGGGGTATTTCTTATCTGTCAATCATCAAACACTTTGATGTTCCACTTTATCAATGTTTGAGTTTCACATTTTTCGAGTGTTTTGCTTGCCAAGGACAATGTTCTGATTTTTGAGTGGTCAAAACTACCGGCGGACGTGAAAATAGTGAGACTTGGCGCAATACTGCCCATGGTTGGGGCAAAATGGTCCACCCTCTGTTACATGGGTTTTAAAACCAAGATTAACCAAGGTCTAGTCCACACACATCTTATCTCAGACGTTCAAATTAGACAGATAATGTATTCTTAACCCCGTACCATAATCCGTAGTCATTCCGGATTTTGGTGTCGGAAGTAGCCTTGCCCAAGTCGGTCTATTTTACTAGGCTATCTGATTATGTCGGAAGGTGTAAGGTACAAACCAAATGTCAGAATCGTTACATTTGAAACTCAATTGTTCTTGTACATTAAGATTTTTGTATGTTATAGCCCAGGGGTAATAATCTCTGTGGGCCGTGTTGCCCAAATAAACGTCATTTTAATCTCCCTTATGTTTGAAGCTCGAAATATTGACAAAATAAAGAATAATACTACAAAATCTAAGTCACGGTAAAATGTTAAATCAAAACCATATTCTATTGTTGCCGAGAGAGTGACAAAATTACCTCGTACGTAAGGCGAGACGCTGCTGATTTAAAAAAGGGCGGTCGAGAAGGTGGCGGAAATTCAAAAATTTTGAAGAACCATCTTTTTATAGTTAAAAAGATATTTGGTCGGGTACCTTGAGTGCATTAATAGTAAGCTAGCATTCACTAAGATTGAATAATCTTTTAAAACTTTAAAAATCGAACCCTTCAAAGGACTGTATCACGAACCATGTACGTTGGTACAAGGTTTTTATACAAAGCCTAAAGTCTCTCCCATTTCCGGGAGAGCATAATTCGATGATTAAGATATTAGAGCCCTGAATCTTTCTTGGGTGAGACTAGACGCTAATTTATTTCAAAACATTTGATCATGAATAGCATGCGACGACATTCATTTTGTGATGGCACCGACATCTTTATACTGCTATATGATTTTTTCACTAGGCATAGGAAAATAACATTGCAACTGGTCCGTAATGCCATTTCAAGGTTTCATATCCTCAGGGCCTACATTGATTGCAGGTCGCAGGTCTGAACCTTCACTTTGCTTGATTTATAGCAAAACTATTGACTTTTGCAAGTTGCCAGTGACGTTGCGCCTTTATAGATAGATCTCACCCGTTACACGTTACAAGCTACGTGCCTTTGGAGAGTATAAATAAAAAAAAAACGTTCTCACAAAAAAATAATCTTGTAGATTTGTTAATTTTTCTAGCAGAAATCGTCCGTCCCCTATCTCAACTACTGATTTTGTCCTATTACCGACTGTGATGATTCCTAGTGGCTGCAACTTATGGCGGCTACGCGCCACCATGTCTTCAGTCTCATTTTTAAAAATTACATCTTAAAACTTTACTCATTATCTTTACTCATTACTTTTCATGCATTTTTGTTCATTAGAATATGTGTGAATGTTCCATTTTTGGCCACCATATGAATATAGTCATGTCTAATCATACGTGTCGTCAACAACTCCGCAAAAATGTGTAAGTCTGTCTGCAGAGAAATGGTAGCCATGGAGCATGTTCTTTACACGAACAGCAAATGGACATGGACCATACACCTGCAAGCTATATAGTTATATGAAACTTTGCCAACTTAAAAAACATTGAACCAACTTTACTTGTTCCACATGCTTTGGTGGGTTGGATTTTTGGTACACCCTGTATAATATTTCCAGGCCTCGGATTTAAAAATCTTGTAACTTGCTAAATCTATATACTAGGCTCAGTCAGACACTCGGAAAGTGTACTTTGTTAACCCCATTTATATCCCTCTCTGTAGTTGTAACTTGTGCGTTTTTGAAATAAAACGTATACCGACCTTTTCTGTATGTGGGGTTGAGTCCATCTCTAATTAGCCTCTCTTTTAACTAGTAATTAGAATTATGTTTCAATTAAAAACGCATACTATACACATTACAGCCCGATCGTGCGGCTCAGTTGAATTATAAATGTTGTTAAAGGTCTTATCCCATTCAGTGTTATCATCATTATCAGGTGTAGACAAAGCTTACTAATATTATCTTCTACATTGTGTACATAACATCTCATCCGGTAGTATATATATAATATATGGTCTAGATATGATATGACTGTGAATACAATCATATAGCAATGGATAATTGCATGGCGTGTGCACCGTTGGCCTGAAATAGTAATATAGATGAGAATTGAGAATGATAAATATGGAAAATTTCTGACTGGTGAAAATATGGTGGACATCGTATTTTTAGACAAATAATGAATGCCATTGAGAGAAATAGTGCAAAATATTTTTCCCATGGGAATATCCTGTCCACTGATCCCGAGACTGCAGGCCCAAAATATGGCAGTCAATATTTGTTTTATTATAAACTGTACCACATGTGTACTCTGTAAACAAAAACAAAATGAGAAGTCTTTTAATTCTAACACTTAATGCTTACAGGTCCTTATTGGCATTAAAAGGCAATTTACCATTCAACTTATAATCTCAGCTGGCAGGGAAGATAAAATGTACTAATGAATAAAATGTAGTTATCGTAGTTATTATAGTGCCATATGTCTTATTTGTAAATATGTATCATTTTACTAATCCTTCTTACCAGAATACGAACAAATGAAAAAAGTATCATGACGGGCCTTCTATCTATGAATATGAAATCTAAAAAAACACAATAAACAGATTTTTATGACATTCAGAAAGTATCATATATTTATATTTTGGATAAAGTATGAGTATTGTGTTTTATGATCAATAATAGCAGAGGACGACACAAGAAATGGAAAAAGGTTCCACCGGGGGTCGGACCCGGGACCTTCCGCGTGTGAGGCGGACGTGATAACCACTACACCATGGAACCCTGTATGTGGTCTGTGGAAAGGTGTTCAGATTTTACCGTACAGGGTGTCAAATATATTCCGTCCCCGATAGAACCCATACCAGTGTGATATTCCATTGGAAAGATCATCCGAAGTTAGTTAATACGAACAAATGAAAAAAGTACGTAGCTGCTCATTTAATTATATAATTAACAGAACTTGTGGACAGAAGGTATCTGCCATATGATACAATGATACTCATCATGACGGGCCTTCTATCTATGAATATGAAATCTAAAAAAACACAATAAACAGATTTTTATGACATTCAGAAAGTATCATATATTTATATTTTGGATAAAGTATGAGTATTGTGTTTTACGATCAATAATAGCAGAGGACGACACAAGAAATGGAAAAAGGTTCCACCGGGGGCAGAACCCGGGACCTTCCGCGTGTGAGGCGGACGTGATAACCACTACACCATGGAACCCTGTACGTGTTCCATGGAAAGGTGTTTAGATTTTACGGTACAGGGTGTCAAATATATTCCGTCCCCGATATAACCCATACCAGTGTGATATTCCATTGGAAAGATCATCCGAAGTTAGTTATCGCTTCCCTTCCTGTATACACTGCACAGTAGTTAGGTAGACTTGTCCTGAAATGTTAAGGACAAAAATTAAAGTGTTCATTAAAACTGTTTTTAATCATCTTATCTGAATGTTTAACACTTTTGATCGATTTTTTATTTATGCATATTGCAATGCCTTGTTTATTTACATATGTGTACTTGTGAGTCTTTCTCATTGCTAAAATTTGTATGACTCCTGTATTTTTATTTCTCCTAAAGTGACTGGGTCATCTCTATTTTTGTACATAACTTCTGTCACTACTATAATGTCTGGTTTTTGAATGTTAGTGATGTGATTAAAGCTAAATCCCTTATCTTATTAGGAAGACTGTCTGAATTGCTATACACAAATTCTAGACACTGGCCCCCTCTGGCCTGTGATAGGCCACCGATGTCATTCTCGGCGAGACCAAAATTTGGGGATAGTGGTGGTTCTTGATTTGTGGCTACTTTTGGGTTTGGGGGTATTATCTTATCCTCCTCAATTTCTTCCTCGGTCCTGTGATTTATTGTCACAAACATGGACTTAATTATCTTCGCTTATGAATACCTCAGATTCTGAGCTGGATTCCACATTTGCTTATTCATCCTCGTTATCAGTCCCAGAGTTTACCTCAATTTCAACTTCACTTCCTTAACTGTGTTATGTTTATTTGCTGTTCAAATACCGTTTTGCTCTTAGAGTTTTGATCGATCTCATGTGGGGATGAGATTTTCCACAACGGGAAGTTTATGTTTATGTGTGTTTATGTTTCTTTATTTCCTCCGTTTTATTGGAGAGCAAAACAATTTATACATGCATATCACATTACAAACATATATTACAGAAGAGTAAAGGGTTATTAATATTTACATATTTACAAGTTAAATGACTCTAAATACATTTTATCATTACAATTCAAGCGTACCTATTTGAAATACATATTTATATTGTAAAATGTATTTGCACATTCGATAACGAACATTTCATAAATGGTGTCATTGGCTACATCAAAATCTATTCTGCTACCCAGAACAGTCTTAGAAGTCTATCTGCCTTATGCTCTTCGAAAGTCAAATCCGGGTGAATGTAGATTCGTTCATATATCTCCCCGTCTCTCCTAACTTTCTCGCTGCCTTCAAGTCTACCGGTATAACTACCATCCTTCATACAAACGAAGAGTAGTAAATGTCTATAATTGTCTACCTTCTGCTGGTCATCTGCCTAGTCGAATCGTTTTGACTATTTCTACACCTTCTATTTCTAATTGTATTAGATCATTTGATCCATGTCATTTTCTGGGGAGTATGTTTCTGTCTCCTCGATATTGAGCAGTACAATATTTTTCTTACGCCTCTCCCTATAGCTGTCTGTGTTGCTAACAAAATGACCTAAATAAATATAGATGTCACAACCTCGTTTGTTTTTTATATATTTCTGATGACTTGAGTAGGTAGGGCAGTAGCTTCTTGTTTCTTTTGACTGGTTCACTGATGTTTTCTTGGTTAAAGGGGTAACAAGGACTGTAGAGAGAAAATTCGATTTTTTTATTTCTTCTGAGCTATTAGGTCATTATTTGGCTTAACATCTTCTTTGATATACCTATTTTCTTAAAATGTATGGATAGCGTCTCGTGTCAATTCAGTTCAAAACTTCTATAAAGGGAGTCCCACTTATAATTATAAATTTTTAAGATTCACCACGTTTCAAGAGGAATATAAGCTGAAATAATGTTTATCCAGGGGGTTTCTGTGCCATAATAAAAATATATGTTAGTCTTGATGAAATATCCAAACTTAAATATATTTTGACACTGGTCGATGATCTCCCACAGAAACTTTAATACCTTGGTAGAGTTCGTGAGATATCATAGTAAACCAGCTCACGGTGTTATAGCATGACGGTTACGACAAGGCGATTTGCAAAATTTTGCGGTAACGATAACAGAAAATGGCGGATGGGAAAGACAGCATGTCCTCTTTCTCGCCTCTAGGCAAGATTCGCAGATAAGATTTCCTTTTTAACTAGTTCCATTCGGTGACGTATATATGGATGGTTATAAAGACTGGGTCAAATCTGCCAGGTGGTTTACTAGAAGCGGAATATAAGCTGTAAACTTACCGACTGAGATGTCCAAGTTCATCTTTTTTAGTGATTTCTCAGTATATGTGCCTCGGGGCCACTCAAACTATTAACAGTAAGTAAACTGTGTATAAACAAGCCATAAAATGACAAATCCAGAACATGAACGTGGTCCTATTGTAAATAATAAGGTTTCAAACGCAATGTTGTTAGACGACTACGTATGAATTCTATGGACGGTAACGTCTTGTATTAGATGTACATTAGATATTTAGCGGACGGTTACGTGCATGTACATCTTTCAAGTTAGGGTTGCTAGTTCTGATAGACTCTTTCCATGTAATTGTTATAATGGGTAAGAAATGGAATATTGAATTGCTTATATTTGTTTTCCGAACTCACAAGAGACGCTCTTGTTTGAGCCTCTATAGGGCAAGGAAAAAATTGTGTCTTGCTTTATTAATGAAACCAATCTAAGTCAAAAAGATAGCAATGAAGAGGCAAAGGAAAAATTAGCATCAAGTACTGATGAATATGACAAAATTAATAACAATGAATCAGGGATACATATTTGAACGAGGTTCGCGTAACCGTCAATCAATTTTTGGCGTAACCGCAAATTAAAAATACAATATTATGGCTTAAGTAGAACATATTAGGTGGTTTCTAATGCTCAATTGGCTTTTTATGATCGTATGTAGGTTACATCTATATACCCCGAGGTCGTTAGGCAATGTAGACCATGCCCTAACGACAAAAATAAACAAATTATTAAATTTTGTGTTGTTTTGAATTTCAAACTCAACAGTTTTTCGCTTATTTCATGTTATCCCCGGGCATAAATTTGCAAAGAATACGTTCAAAATATACATTACTAAATGCATCACCGAATGCGATCTCTACAAAAATCGTTCATCCTTTCATTGATACCCAGTAGAAGAAAATACTGCACCAACCTTAGTTTTCTGTTCCATCGCGGCCATTTTATTGGATAAATCAGTGATCGTAGTCGTCTAATCTCGTTTTCAGAGGTGTCGTAACCGTCATGCTATAACACCGTGCAGCTGGTCATTCTCAATTCATGTACTCTCATTTCTTATTTTAGTGGCGCCAATTTCAACTTTCAAGAAAAGTGAGTGCACTCGATTATTCGCAAAAAGGGATGTCTTCGTCATACCAAAAGGTTCCACCGGGGGTCGAACCCGGGACCTTCCGCGTGTGAGGCGGACGTGATAACCACTACACCATGGAACCATGTGCCAATGCTGTAGGTAGGTTGGACTATGAATTTACAAATCGCGAACCCAATTAAACAGTCCTCAAAATCATGCTTTTTTTCATTCTGAGCACTTTTTAGTGATTTTGGCTAATTTTAGACCAAAATTATTAAAAGTCTACCCCCTGATATTTGTTAATACGTGCATCACCCTTCCAGCTATTGTG